CACACACACACACACACACACACACACACATACTACTATATATATATATATATATATATATATATGTATGTATGCATGTATACGAGATTTGTTACTACTGGGCAGGCTACTAATGTCTGTTGGGCTGTGGACATCAGGAAACATCTCAATGCGCGCTCTCCACGGGTGTTTTAAGATTGCGTCGAGCATGTAGATATCAGCCTAAATGTATTGTATTATATCTGCAAGTGGCTTACGATACGAAGGTTTTGCTGCTACCACCAAGGAACATCCCTATTCCGATAAGCTCTCATTGGTGGATTGTTCAATACTTACCCATACCTATTGGTTGCCCGTTATGTCACGTATTTGCGATATGCACTATATGGGCTGTATCGCCCTGTTCGCTCACACATTAGCTGACTGATCTGCACTGCTGCTATTGTGGTGGTGCCGCTATGTCAAAGGATTTTAGTGTCACATATACAACCCCTTGTGCACGCATAGAAAGGTTGCGTAGCTATTAAAGATCGTATATATCGCCCAGGAATTAGATGGCGAGTATTAGGGTATTGCCACACACTGTATAGAGCTGTGTGCAGGTGTCAGACCTGAAGTTCTAACCCACATTACAAGTCTATTCCGTCTGAATTTCCCCCCGGAGATGTTGCGAGGCGTAAACCCTCTGCGTGCGGACTGCTTATTGGATTTCTTTTTTGCAATGTGATTCTCTAGTATATGAGTTGACATATGTGATTCTATGGGATTGTTACTGATGCGCGAATGAATGATGACTATATTCCAAGTGATGATCTCATGCACAGGTGTATGTCATTTTAACATATAATGCCCTAACAAGGGTATGTGAATATGCTATTCTCTTTGTAATTGTCTAAAGAGATCACTATATTAAAATTGCGATCTATTCTGCAATGCCCGCCTGTATATCGTTCAGAAGGTCCATCTTGAGCCTCCAACCGCGACAGTAAACCCCTTCGCCAATGCGAAGTTCTCATTGGCTGCTAAAAATACCGTGGATTCAGAAATTCCAATATTGAACGAGCTAGAAGCCGAAGCGTTGGCTATAGAGTCGATCTCTGCGCTGGTGCAGTTGCTGCCGTTAGTATCTCCCACGTTACAGGTACAAATCGGCAATCTATTTTTAGTACTGAGTGCTTACACCTTATCAGGACTTCTGCATCTTTTGGAGCCCTGGATCTCTTATATGGGCGTTGCGAATTGTGTTTTTCCGCACATCATCATTCTAGTGCCTAATACAAACTGAACGTGCATGAGAACCCCCCACTTCTAACATCATCATTCTATTACTTGCTACAAGCTGAACGTGTTTGAGGATCTCCCACTTTCTAAAATTGTATATATTTCATCAATTGGAACAATGTCACTGGGCATTTACCTCACTTATGGTACCATGTACACAATTATATTCTCATGAGAGTTGTATTCACGAGACGAGTTTCAATGGATCCCATAAATCTCGCTTTCGACTCTTACTAATTCACTGGGTGCATCGGACCTTAAATGAGCGAGACCCTTCTGTTCGACATCGCTGCGTGTATTGCAGCTTGCTCGCGGCGTAATCCAAGCTATTCCTGTATACTATACCATGCGAAGTAGTACACGCTATAATATCGTCCACCTGAGCACGCCCATAGTCTTCCCAAAGTCACCTGTATTTAACTCGAGATCCGTCCCCTTGACAGATACCCGTTTTAAACTGTCCTGGAACCCTCCTGACAGGTGCACTTCCTCGACCAACTAGTCCAACATGCAAGTGTGATCCATCCCTTCCCATCCCATACCATCCCCTGCAAGTACGGGAGTGCTAGTCTTGCTTCCGCCACAGGACACAGAGCGACCTCTATACCTATGGAGAAAGAGGCTATACAGAGGTAGGTTTGGCCAAAGTCCCGATGTGGTTGCTCACGTGCACGTGTTCAGCAGCCATGGCGTGCTTCTTTGGCTCTACCCTTTGGCAACCGTAGATACTTTATCCTTCCATCGGTTGTACACAATCAGGTTTCCTTCTATGTCCCGCTCGCCGTGTCATTTATATACAGTACATTTTACAGTACAAACTGTCTACTAAATGCAGTTTCATGCCTCCTTTTATTCTCTACTCACGGGTTGTGCATTTGAACCTGTCTCGTCGATAGCGAGCACGATAAACCGAAGGCAAAAGAATCATCGCAGTCGCAGTTGGTCTCAGGCGCCCCCGCACATACGCACCACACAGCTCGCCCCACAACAGCACCCACTGCACATACTAATGCAAGCGAGAGGGCAGATGGTGCAGAACATTTAGATACGGCACAGGCTTCCGAGGTACACATGGCAGATAAAGACGGGTATGATGGTCAGAAGGGGAAGGTACCAGACCAGGGCACCGGCTCTACAGAGAAGAATGTTGGTAGTGCGAGGTCTCATACAGCGGTAGATAAGCGTACAGGACACGATGCTGTTGTGCATGTGAATGGGTATACCATACCACAGTCGTCTGTACACAGGAGTGCGCACAACACCACACCAGACGCCAGCACGAAACCGGCAGCGAAGGCGGATAAAACATCCAAAGAGAGCTTGCAGAAGGAGAGGGATCTCGAACAGCAGCGTCAGTCCAGGTTGGGTAAGAGACGTGAGATATTGGTGGCGATGGGTGCGGTCAAGACACTCAGCGAGTTGCTGGCCGTCTCGACTAATGAGAGTGTGCGGAGAGAGACCATCCGGTTGATGACACATCTTACCCGTGTGGAAGGGGTCATCCACGATATTCGAAAGTACCGCGATACGTGTTTGTTAACAGGTAATATATATATATATATATATATGTGTAAGGAAGTATGTAGTATGTATGTATGTATGCATGTATGTGTATATTTATGTATGTATGTATGTATGTTTGCATGTATATATATATATATGTATGTATGTATGTATGTATGTATGTATGTATGTATGTATGTATGTATGTATGTATGTATGTATGTATGTATGTATGTATGTATGCATGTATGCATGTACGTATATATGGATGGATGGATGTATGTATATACATACATACATACACACACACACACACACACACACACACACACACACACACACACACACACACACTACTACTACTACTACTACTACTACTACTACTACTACTACTACTAC